GATTCAAACTCGATATATATATATATATATATATAGATTCATAAATATATATTTAAGTTGAAAATGTAAACAATGACGAAGAACCCTGTTGTTTCTACTGGGACCGCCTGTTATTAAATTATTTTTAATCGTTCTATATCTTATGTAGATTTCAAATAAATTTTGTGTTTTTGCTCGTGCCCGAAGCGTGCAGACAATGATCAAAAACTAATAACATATCAAATAAACATATTAAAGATTATAATATTGCGGATTTGTCTTTTGTACTAAAGTTTTATGAAGTCTATTACAATAATACTCAATTTTTGTTTGTCCTGAAAATGCGCGCGCACCTTACTAACTAAATGCGCATGCGCGCGCACTTCATTTGAACGGATGTAAACAAAACGCGGGTGGGTGTAAATATACTTTAGTAGACATTTTCTACAACAACTTATTAAAAACCTGATGATGACAAAACCTTGTCGAAACGTTGTACATTTGCTGTTATGTTAAACTTATATTAAAGTTTTTCTTCATTACCCATTCAAGCCGTCTCCAGCCATTATTAGTCTCAAAGTGGGTTCCTCGTCATCGAATTTGAACTTATTAAAAGCTTATCCAAGTTTTTAACCAGATCTAACGTAAGGCCGTGGAATAACTTTATAAGTTTGTTTACTGATAATATTAAGTACGGTAAAGTTTAGCCCTAACTAAACTAAAGCAAAAAACATTCACAAGTTACAGTTAATTTATCTCTTTATCGAATATACGGGTGATATTGACTATAGTTGCCTTAAGACCCTCCAGTCTATCATTGCTAAATTGGCAAAGGTTGGTGTAAATAGCTTTCGAGTAGCTTTGCGCAAAAAGTAAAAACGAGACAACTGTGACAACAAGTTGTCGTAGTTTTCTTGAAAATGCTAAATTTCAAATCCCTAGTATTGTCGTTAATACGCTGTTGGCAGATTGTAAATTATGCCATAAATACATTTCAAAGCAGCTGAAAGAAATCCCCGGGGAGGGAGGCGTTAAAGTATAAGAACACCACTGAAATGAAACGAGCAAATTATTTTATGAGAATTTGGCATAATTACAGGAAAGTCTAGTCTATCACTACTAAATTAGGAACGGCTAGCGTAGATAGCTGTCGTGTAGCTTTGCGCGAAATTCAGAACAAGCAAACTGAAATATTCAAGTTCTATGTACATTTCTCAAGTTCAAGACACCCAGAAAATCAACTCGACAAAGAGAATAGCATTACTAAACTAATAAGATCTGTTCCTTCTTCATACTTCATAGTAGTATGTGTGTACTATAGCTAGAATAATGTGATAATTATTAACGCACATTTTTCGATGAATTTCACTAAACGTAGTTTCTGTATTGACTCCTTTCTATTTGGTTTTTCTACTGATTCGATTCTCGTCATTACACAAACATGCAACATAGGTTACGTTGCGCGTCGTCTACTGATTCGATTCTGACATTACACAAACATGCAACATAGGTTACGTTGCTCGTCGTCTACTGATTCGATTCTGACATTACACAAACATGCAACATAGGTTACGTTGCTCGTCGTCTACTGATTCGATTCTCGTCATTACACAAACATGCAACATAGGTTACGTTGCTCGTCGTCTACTGATTCGATTCTCGTCATTACACAAACATGCAACATGGTTTACGTTGCTCGTCGTCTACTGATTCGATTCTCATCATTACACAAATATGCAACATAGGTTACGTTGCTCGTCGTCTACTGATTCGATTCTCGTCATTACACAAACATGCAACATAGTTTACGTTGCTCGTCGTCTACTGTATCGATTCTGACATTACACAAATATGCAACATAGTCTGCGTCGCTCGTCGTCTACTGATTCGATTCTCGTCATTACACAAATATGCAACATAGTTTGCGTCGCTCGTCGTCTACTGATTCGATTCTGACATTACACAAATATGCAACATAGTTTGCGTCGCTCGTCGTCTACTGATTCGATTCTCACCATTACACAAACATGCAACAAAGTTTACGTTGCTCGTCGTCTACTGATTCGATTCTCACCACAACACAAACATAATTTACGTTGCTCCTCGTCTACTGATTCGATTCTCACCATTACACAAATATGCAACATAGTTTACGTTGTACGTCTCTTCACAGTTTCAAAGGAAGTAAAAGTGAAATCGTTATTAACTTTTCAAATAATGTTTCACTTAAGGAAGAATCGTTTTGCAACAAAATGCGTTACTTCCTCGATTCAGCTTCTAGCCAGTATCGATTTGTTTTGTTATCGATACACCGTTCACTAAGCCACTTGTAGCAGTATACATGATTTTATCACAAAGTAGTCTTTTTGTCCAAATATCTAGTATGAAACTAGTTTTTCACATTTTTATACCACAAAACCAAATATCGCTTGATTTTATCACAAAGTAGTCTTTTTGTCCAAATATCTAGTATGAAACTAGTTTTTCACATTTTTATACCACAAAACCAAATATCGCTTTTTTTTTTTACTCGAATACCTAACTTGCATTGTGATTGGATATTCATTTTATTTTCCGGTCAAATAAACAGCCTCTTCGGGTTCCTAGCATTAAAGGGCCCTGCTCATGAATATCGTAAATTTAAAATGTTGTTTTGCCTACGGCTTTCCGGTTTATAGTTTTCGTCAGTACTAGTGTGAAAAAAAAAGAGGAAGACGGATCTTCGGCTCTATAAATCAAATATATCAAATGATAAGAAGAGGTGGGAGGAAAATAAAAATCGAAATTAAATATATATATATATAGCATATAAATACATGCGGATGTATAAGTATACACAATCTTCTAAATACTACATATAATTTGAAACTAACCAGCATTCTTATAGAAATGCTAGTTATTTCAACTTCTAAAGTTCAAGATTCTTAGAACATATACACACATACATATGTAACCTGTACACCCCTCCCCTCCTGTGAGTCAGCAGTAAGTTTACGGAATTACAACGCCGAAAAAAATGGGTTCAAGTACCCGTAGTGAACGGAGTGCAGAAAGGCTATTGTGTAGTTTGCACTAAGAAAAAGTAAAACAACTAGATTTTTCTTCTATCCTACTGTGTTTGTTGCAGTCCAGTTTGATAAACACTACAAGTGCTTGTTGCAGTCCAGTTTTATAAACACTACAAGTGTTTGTTGCAGTCGAAGTTGATAAACACTACATATGTTTGTTGCAGTCGAAGTTTGATAAACACTACAAGTGTTTGTTGCAGTCCAGTTTGATAAACACTACAAGTGTTTGTTGCAGTCCAGTTTGATAAACACTACAAGTGCTTGTTGCAGTCTAATTTGATAAACACTACAAGTGCTTGTTGCAGTCCAATTTGATAAACACTACAAGTGCTTGTTGCAGTCCAATTTGATAAACACTACAAGTGCTTGTTGCAGTCCAATTTGATAAACACTACAAGTGCTTGTTGCAGTCTAATTTGATAAACACTACATGTGTTTGTTGCAATCCAATTTGATAAACACTACAAGTGCTTGTTGCAGTCTAATTTGATAAACACTACATGTGTTTGTTGCAGTCTAATTTGATAAACACTATAAGTGTTTGTTGCAGTCCAATTTGATAAACAATACTTTCTCATAGCGTAAGCAAATATCTTTAGTTAATGTAATATTCCTCCAAATTATATCTTTAAAGCAAACATTTGTTTGCCATTTCACCTTTTGTTAAGTTGTTGCATTCGAGACCAAACCCTATCAGTGTGTGCGTGAGCAAAAAGATAAAAAATAAAACAAAAAGTTGTCTTCAAGCTTAGCTACAGTAACTTCAAAATATACTTGGCAACACAAGTCTATTTGGTTTTCGCTTGTGTACCTAGTTTGTTTGCTTGTTGCCAATTGCGAATCTGTACCATGCCGTGCCCACAGCAAGTATGGAATCGATCCCCAATATTTGGCGTTATAAGCCTTCGAGCTTACGCCGAGCCACCGAGGGGAGGCAGCATGTGTGAAAATAGTACAAATTGCATTATCTAAATGATGTTAGTGATTATGCTTCTTAACATCTCAACTTATAGTATTTCCACTCTAAGCTTAGTTAGTTGTTTTTCCTTTGTTATTGCTTTGAAACACAATAAGTTTTGATTTTACACAGGCATCTTCACTTTTCAGTATCTTCATAATGATTTTTAGTGCGATTTTGTAAGATACTCTATAAGTATGTCACAAAGCATAAACGTCCTACAATACTTTTATTGGTATATAGAGAATGAAAGCAATCAACAATGTTGAGTTAAACGACAACAAGCAACAATACTGAGTTAAATGGCAACAAACAACAATATTGAGTTAAACGACAACAGACAACAATATTGAGTTAAACGACAACAAACAATAATGTTGAGTTAAACGACAACAAACAACAATATTGAGTTAAACGACAACAAACAATAATATTGAGTTAAACGACAATAAACAACAATATTGAGTTAAACGACAACAAACAACAATATTGAGTTAAACGACAACAAACAACAATATTGAGTTAAACGACAGCAAACAACAATATTGAGTTAAACGACAACAAACAACAATATTGAGTTAAACGACAACAAACAACAATGTTCGGTTAAACGGCAACAAACAACAATGTTGAGTTAAACGACAACAAACAACAATATTGAGTTAAACGACAACAAACAACAATATTGAGTTAAACGACAACAAACAACAATATTGAGTTAAACGACAACAAACACCAATGTTGAGTTAAACGACAACAAACAACAATATTGAGTTAAACGACAACAAACACCAATGTTGAGTTAAACGACAACAAACAACAATATTGAGTTAAACGACAACAAACAACAATGTTCGGTTAAACGGCAACAAACAACATTGTTGAGTAAATGGCAACAAACAATATGTTTTTGTGGTATCCATGAAGGACTTGAGTAAATGAGCAGTTAGCCTATTTTAAGCAGCCATATTTTGATAAAGATTACGATAACATACCTCTTCAGCTCCATAGTTGAAACCGTACTTCATCCTGGTTATATTCTTAATCTCTCGTGAAAACTCGGCGTATTCTGGTGTGTCCGGAACCCGATCAGTTACCGTCAGCAATGACTGATAAGCCCGTCGTGCTCGGCCGTTAATCTCTGGCGAATCATCCTCATTGTACCATGGTCGTTGTGTAGAGTTTTTGCTGGAAACACAAAATCAGCGATAAAAATCCCTTGCTAACCAACACTACCAACACGATTGAGTGACTCAGCGGTGAGTATGTGAGCTTGTAACGCTAAAGATCGAGTTTCGATACCCGTGGTAGCCACAGCACAAATAGCCCATTGTGCAGCTTTGTGCTTTAGTACAGACACTCCTGCCCCCCAGTGGCACAGCGGTATGTCTGCGGACTTACAACGCTAGAAACCGGGTTTCAATACCCGTGGTGGTCACAGCACAAATAGCCCATTGTGTAGCTTTGTGCTTTAGTACAGACACTCCTAAAACGAAGAATAAATGAACAGATTACTATCACCAAATTAACGAGAATGAGAATTATTTTCTACAACAGTCGATGAACGAAATTCAACCGATCAAGATAACTTTAAATTGTTTGTTTGTTTGTTATGAATTTCGCACAAAGCTACACGAGGGCTATCTGCGCTAGCCGTCCCTAATTTATCAGTATAAGACTAGAGATGAAGGCAGCTAGTCATCACCACCCACCGCCAACTCTTGGGCTACTCTTTTACCAACGAATAGTGGGATTGACCGTCACATTATAACGCCCCCAGGGCTGAAAGGGCGAGCATGTCTGGTGTGAAGGGGATTCGAACCAGCGACCCGCAGATTGTATAACTTTAAAGACTTGAACTATTGTAATTCATAATACGGTTTCGTTGTGGAATCACTCCTCCTGTCAAAAGAAACACAAACAACGGAAAATTTTGTAATGCTAAGGAGACGAGCGTGGTGGCTTATAACGCTAAAGTTTGAGGTTCGATCCATGCCCTAGGCACAACATATATAGCTCATTATGCAGATGTATGCTGTTTTACAAACCACTTTCTTCCTACTTGAACAAAAAAAAAGCAAATAACTATTTGGACGCAGATGCCCTAACTCCTTCTCACCATACTCTTTTTCTCAAGCCCCGAAATAGAGTTTTGTTAATTAGTTGTTTAACATACAATCTTTGTTTTTCATTTTTCTATTTTTTTTTCAAGATTATTTGCTTGTGAGAGTAAAAATATCTTAAAAACTAGCAAGCGTTTCGTTGTTTCTTTGACCTTATAACTTTTAAGAAAACAAATTATTAAAATTTATTAGTTAGATAATCAAAAACACCGGAAAAAAGTAAGATCACGTATTAGCGGTCAATAAACTAAATAATGATGCCTACTGGTGGTATGTTCCGAAGGATGAATAATGAATAACACAGAAAAACACAGAAATAAAATATAGCATAAACTGGTAGTAAACGGGATTAGTTTCATAAACCTAAAACTACTTACTTACTTACTTACTCATCTCAAACTTACCTTTCCAGTAACAACTTGATTACAAAGGTAATACGTACGTTTTTTGACTTCGGAACTCACTATGTTATATTACTTCTGCTTTTTTTATCTGATTAATTTTCAGCTGTTTTGCGACTTTTTTTTTTTCCGTCGACAATGCTTTATGAACCCCGTAACTGTTTCAGTGCCACGCCTCTTAAGTGTGGCTATTTATGAACATGGATTATAATATTAAAACGTGCGCGCTTGCTCTTCGGTTGAGCAACACAAGGCATGGTGTGCTTAAATACCTTGAAAAACCCTTGAAATATTGAGTTTCTTTTTTAATACTACGTGCCTATCATCAGTTCATTTTTATCAAGTTGTTATTTCCGTACTTTGGGCATGGTTAACTCGTAACCGCCAGTTTGCTGTGCTAAGGACTGTCGAAAAATGAAATTATACAGACTTTACTCCCTGGCGTCGAATTCGGTTCACAATTTAACACTTCCTCCTGCTTATCTTTGGCGTTTATCTTATTCATTACACAAAGAGGTGTGAAACTCAGAAATTTCATATTGAGAAGTATAACTGACACAACAGTATATACCCGAATGGCAAGCTTTGTCCAAAGATACTGTTATTTAATTCGCTGCTGTCGCCATAAAGGATTTTATCCACAAAAGTAATCGTGATCCAAGTTTACTTAGTGATACACTAACCAGGAATGTTCTGTAAAAGTAGGCGAGAAAACATTATAACGATTGCAATTACGTTTATTTTTGTTGAAACTCAAGCTTAGCCGCCGTATAGTCTAGCTAATATAAAAAGATTTCTCTATTTAAACTATATCTTCACAGCAAAAGTTAAAATAGATACGGATCATTCCTTGCCAGAGCCACGAATTTCGCGGTTGCTTAAAATGAAGCGACTGTTTGATTATTTTGGAGTTAAGTACAAATCTGCACAATGGGTTATCTATGCTCTGCCCACCACGGGTATCGAAACCCTGGTTCTAGCGTTGTAAGTCCACAGACATACCGTTGTGCCACTGGGGAGCTTAAGCTACAGCCCGTTAACGAAATAAATAAATAACACGTATTCGAAGAATACATTGTGCAAGAAAATACCAGGAATGTCTGAGTTAAATATCTTGTTTCATAATGACATGTAAAGTTACACAGGGGCTATATGCAAGGGCGGATAAAGGCCGGGGGCGCTGGGCGGCCCCCTCCCCACCCGTTTTGAAAATAAAGTCAAAATAATTGCAAAAAATTGTATCTTTGAGGAGGGAAGAATGAAGTGAATATTCAAATTAAAGTCAAAAATATAAATAATAAAAGCAATAACAACAACAACATCTAGCAAACATTATAACAAATCTAAATAACCCATTTAACCCTACCAGGGAAGTCCCGAAAATTCCTCGTTTACGTTCAGAATCATCGCGCCTCCGCCTTTTCAAAATCCTGGATCCGCCAATGATATGCACATGGCCGTCTTTAATTTTGAACATTTGCTTCGAGAGAAAGCAGCTAGTTAACAGCACCCACCGCCAACTCTTTGCTCTTTCTTTTCTTATTGAATAGAAAGATTTGTCCGTCATTCTTATAACGCACCTTCGATCCCAATGTGCGGAGTGTGTTTGAACAACGACGATTTGTGAACCACGAATCATCAAATTCACAGTCTGAATCACTTAACCCACGAGGCCACGCTCGACACAAATATCTCCTTAAATAAAAAAATGCATGGCAAGTATGTGTATAATTTCAAATTAATCAAACTTCAGTTCGAAAGGAATAAAATGAACGTATATTACACGATGTTCTTGTTTGTTTGTTTTTTGTTCATTTCGCGCAAAGCTACACGAGGGCTATCTGCGCTAGCCGTCCCTAATTTAGCAGTGTAAGACTAGAGGGAAGGCAG